GATTACATAATAAGGTTGGAGGAGGAGGGTTACACTATGAAATAGGCTGAGGAATACAAAAAATTACAGATACGGGGACTGCAGGAGGTCACAGAAATTCTGTTGAGAGAATGAAATGGTGGGTAAGATGACTCATAAGATGATAGAATTCATAGCTCAGAAATTTGCAGAGGCCTTGCAACTTAACCCTACTTGTGAATGAAAGTGATGAGAGAAGCAAGGTTCAGTAGACAGTACAGAGAAGGAAAGGACAGGACCAGAAAGACATGGAATAAGAACTGGGCACAGAGGCCAATAGGCAGGATATAGAGCCAGAAATGTGTACTCCAGAGTTAGGAGAACAGCTGAGCATCAATTTCAATACAGTTTCGAAAAAAGTAAAGGACCTGCCCAAGCTAAATATGCATTCAGTGTGCCAAAACTAGTTGACAGGAGAGAGAGATTATATAATGATTAGCTCATACAAAATTTATTGGAATTGACAGAATTGATAAAAAGATTTTTTTTTAATTTGCAATATAGAGAGAAAGGTTAATTAAAATTGAAAAGCAAAGGTGATGACAAAATTTATGTAATTCTCCTTTTCACTGATTATAGGAAAGATATAATTCCACAAGTGTAGTTTTCATATTGTAACCACTTGTATAATTACACACATACTCGTACACAGGATTTCATAAAGTTGACAAAGTGGAATTTTTGGAATCTGCAGCTTTCAGAAAGAGTATATACTGTAGATTCAAGATAAGAAAATAGCGTGCGCACCCGCACTAAAATGTGTATACTCTATAAGTTTTCTCACCTCAGTTTTTGTGGTATGTTGTTCATTTTGGTTTCAAATTCGCAATAGAATTCTCTAAAGGGGTATATGCATATAAGGTCAAAAAGCCCGGCGTGCCACCCGCACCAAATACAAAAATCGGCTGAGCATTACCCGTGAGCGTGCAACTGCACTAAAATGTGGATACTCTTTTCAGTTTGATAATTTCATTTTTTGTGTTACATTATTTATTTTGGTATCAAATTGTTTGCAATAGAATTCCTTAAATGGATATATGCATATAGGTCAAAAAGTCTGGTGTGCGCCCCGCAGCAAACCAAAAATCAGCCAAGTGTTACCCGTGAACAAGCCCCCATTGGCACACCCACAACACGCACACTCAAATGTGAATACTCTGTTCAGTTCAATAACATCAATTTTTGTGTTAACGTCGCTCATTTTGGTATCAAATTGTTGGCGATAGAATGTTCTAAAGGGATATATATATGCATATAAGGGCAAATGGAATAAAGGCCATTTGCAGAAAGGAGAACGTGATTTTCTTCGTCCACTTGTGACATTTCTGTGGGAAATGATAATATTTGACCATTTGGTCGAAGTGATCAACACCTTTCATGTAGTTTTTGTAGTCACAGAGTGCCTTTGGTTTGTTCACAGTTAACTGTTGCAATGAAGATGTTCCGCCACGTTTGCGTACTTGCTTAAGTTTCCATAGCATTATAAAAGTATTGTACTTTCATTGGAATACAGTTTTATCTACTGTCAGTTTACCTTTTGCTTGTAGCTGAAGATCTTGTGGTGCACCATACTACAATCTGAGAGTACCACAGGTGATTATACCTTGTTCAAGCAAGCTTTTCACTCAGTTGAACCGAGTTATAGTAGTTATCCATATATAAATGGTAACATTTGTTCTTCAGTGGTTCAGACCCATAACCGTTTGAATTGTTGTCTTCCCAATTCCTGCATACACTTCAAAATTGTAGATGTAACCAGTAAGCGATTCAGCCAGCATGTACAGCTTTACTCCATACTTATCAGGTTTATTTGAATTATAAACCTTTAAAGCTAGACCATGACATTGACATTGTGCCCTCATCCAAAGACAGATTTTTCTGAGGATTGTATAATGTTTTGCATTTATGTGCAAGATATTCCATGAATGTTCTAACTTTTATCAGTCTTTCTTTGATTGTCTTTGGGAATGGCATTATTGTTACGAGTATGAAAATACTGTACTTAATACTTTGCAATCATTTCATACTGTCTCGCAGTCATAAAAGTATTGAAAGAAGATACATGCCACAATTTACCTGTTTGCCAGTACATTCTCATCATTGGGAGCTTCACAATGCACATCAACCTTGTCAGTCCCAAATATCTGGCAAGCTCCTTTACACTTGCTTTATCCCACTTATTGTTTGTGTTGTTAGAAGCATTGGACATGCTTTGTGATGCATACAAGTTTGTTTCATATTCCATAAATTTCAGCAAATCTTGCATAATAAATAACTAAAAATTTCAGAGGAGTGCTTGGTACTGGTACAGTCAAGCCTGGTGTTCCAGTAAAACTGTCTAAAAATGGTGCAGTGTTGTCAGTAGACTAGGCATCACCAGAACTGGTGCGTGGGGTATGTTGGGTATGAACGGTACGTCCGGTACAAGTTCTAATAGCAGGTCCTGCACATGTGGTGGTATCAACATCATCACTTCCCTCACTTTCAATTTCATCCTCACCTGCTGTTTCAGTTTCAACCACCTCACTATCTACATCACTGTCACTTTTGGCACTTTCAATATTAAGATAAAAAAAATCTTCAACTAAAGCCTAGAATTTTGTTGGTGTGAGTTTCACTTTGCTGTACTTTTGGCAAAACACGTCTTCTCCCTCAGACGTGTTTCTTTCCCTGCTTTTGTCCTGGAATGGCTCTGTTCTTGATCACTATCCATCTTGGAGTAAATGTAGTGTGCTTATAAAGGCAGTAACAAATATAGCTGAGGAAAAATAGCTGGAACGGGCACATGCGTTGGACGCAAAGGAGGCCACAGCGGTCACGAACATAGACACGATAAGAATGGGCCTACCACGTGGGAGGCGGTGCCGTGATGCCACGTGGGTCATCACAGAAAATGGGAAGACGTTGGTGCACATTTTAAAGTACGTTCCATAATGATTGGGGAAAAAATGTACAGTAATTTTAACATTTTAATTTTGGATGCAACATGCGTACCCGCTAGACATCCGAAGAGTTATTTAAGGATGCAGTATCCGTCCCCACCGGCTGAAACTTTTAGTGCACATTGATGAAGATGATGGCAAATAAAAGTTTGACATTTTATGTCTTTGGTTAGTGCATTGCATTCCAAATCAAATCAAATGTTTGGTGGCAGAGCCTATAGTTACATCTGACCTATTTCATTTGATTACTGCAACTTTTAAGTGCAAAGCATAGAATGTGCTTTGGTAATGAAAGCAAAATTACTTGGAAAAATTAAAATTTTTGGGAAGTAACAAAGTATTTGTTAAATTTTTTATTTTTGTATTTTTCTGGGTACATTGGTACCTTAACACTTTCCTGGAGTTTCCACTTGGAATTACGGGCGGTTTAGATAAGCGCTTGTCGGATCACGACGTAAATTTACGGACCGTGTTTTATAGTGGGTATTTACTACTCGATCGACTTGGGGTTTGTATGAATATGTTTGCCATTAAATTTGCGTTTTCTCTAATAGGCACAGTGCCTATTTGAGAAAACGGCAATGTATTGTAACTTAGAGGAGAGACTATTGAGTTGGTGACACAACGAGGGTAATCGCCCACTACACACACACACTTGTGTTGGCCGCGATCATGATTCTACATTTATATGCATATGTCTGTGTAGAGAATTTTATTCCGAACACTATACAAACAAAAAAAACGGTGTGAAACAAGTATAAACTTGAAAAAACATGAGCAAAGTAAAAACTTTTTACGCTCACGGGTACAAACACGCGAAAGATTTTATTCGCCACAAATTTATTTGACGCTCTGTTGGCCAATTCTACCCATGTTCTTATAGAACTTTCTATGTTATATATAAAACTTTCTATTGCAAACACATTGCTATAAAAATGAAATACGTAGCTCGAGAAATAATGTCAGGACAGTGAAATAAGTATAAACTTTCAAAGCGCTGCATCACAACAGTGTCGTCGCTGCTGAAATCACGGCTAACGCTTCGCCCAGTTCCCACACTCGTGCGGAACATAATTAGACATTGATAGGCATATGTCTGGGTGGGGAATTTTATTGCGAGTTCAGTGATATCAAAATAAGCGCTGTAGGATGACTGTGAGGCTGGCAACAAATGAAAGAGTATGAACATTTACTTCCTGTTTGGGTGTCACGGCGAGTCATCTTCGTGTTTATTTACTTTATACACTTTCTTGTGTTTACGCTTGAGCGCCCAGAACGCCGCGCGCACAAGGTCCTTTTTCTTTCACGAGTGCCGCGCGCACTAAAGTGTTAATTAGACTTATATGATCTAGTAAAATTTTCACGATTGTGTGGACAATGTTACTGATGCATCCAAACACAGATTGGAGTCCTTCCTTTGCCTCTCAACTTTTATTGGATCAGTTCCATTAGAACAGGAATCCACTATATCACTAATGACAAGTTAGATTCTAGTAATGTTCTTATTAAGTATGTGAAGACTTTGTTTTTCAGGTGTGCTTAATGCAGGTTGTTATTACATTTTTGTTATTAAGTCTAACACATTTCATGACTTGATGCTTTTACATAACGTAATGGAAATAATCATGGTTGCTGTACTTTGATTGCAATACATGCATTCACATACATACATACATTTTCAGACATTTACACATACATCTTATGCTAACTTTCCTGTTTGACCTAGAATGATGCCACCAAGTCTGTAAATTGTTTTCAGAATTTTGTAAGCTTATACGACTTGAATACAGGTTTTGTGCATTAATTTTCTTTGCAATGCTTCTTTAAACAGTTATTCATCAGAACATGAGTGGCAACCTTCTTGGTTTAACAGATTAAGCTAGTCTGCTGCCTTGAGTTATTTGTTGGTCAGTTCCCTGCTTATTGTACTTATGTAGAGCTATCAAATTTTAACACATTTGGGTACTAATTGAGTGCAGTATAAGGACAGTGTGATATTAAGTGTACTGATTTTTACTGCTACTCTCCCTTTTATTTCAGATGGAAGCTGAATTGGCTGAGGAAGCCGTGTCTAAGTTAAAGCGTGAAGACGATAATGATTGTGAGGAACGATCATGCCTAATGATTGATGCAGAAAATCCCAGTGAGTACCATGTAACCAAAGACAGTATTGCTAGAATCAAGAGGGAGGTTAATGAAGAAGAAAATGAAGAACTCATTGTTGAGGATAAAAAAAAAATTGACCGAAGTAGGGCAATAGGTTCAAACGAGAACAGTGTATATGGGAAATTTCAAGAGGATGTGAAGGGTATGAAAGTAAAATATGCAGAAGAAAAGGCAAAAAAGACTGCAATACGTGACAGTGCCCAGAAGGCAAAACATTTTATTGGTTTAACGTTAGCAAAGACTTTGACGGAAGACTACGAGCAAGAGGATGAGGAGGGTGAAGTGGAGGCAAACAGAATTGAACAAGTGGAGGTAAAAAAAGGAAGAAAGTGTCAGCAAATAAAGAGAGAGAAACGACAGTATATAGTGAACCGAGAGAAAAATCAGCAGGGTATAAGGAGAGAAAGAAGACAACAAGTGACTAAGAAAGGTAAAAGTTCCAAGAATGAAGGAAAACAAGTGAAAACTCTGCAGAAGGATGTAAAAAGAAAGAAAGGTTATCAGATAAAGGAGAAAGTTGAATATGAAATAAAGCAGGAAGTAAAGAATGAAGCAGATGACCTGGAGGTAAAGGAAGAAACAAGAGAGATCATAACAAAGGTAGATGACTTGGAAGTAAATAAAGAATTTAAGCAGAAAATTAAGAAAGAAATAGATGGACATCATTCAAAGAAAGCAGCAGCAAAATGTGCTACAAAGAAAGGAGTTAACGAGCAGGAGAAAAGAATGGAGACCATTTCCAAGGAAACTGGGAGTGACATTGGGGACTTTAAGACTGAGTTGAGCAGAGAAAAAGAAGCAAAAAAAGAAAGAAAGAAAGCAAATAAAGTTGAAGAGGAAAGACCGGAGGAAGAAGTGAGAGATGACCTTGAAGTGAGAGAGGAAAACCAGGGTGGGGAGATGCTGCCAAAAAATGAGGACACTGAAATTAAGAGAGACAAGAAGTCAGAGAACATAAAGAGTGAAGAAATCAACCTGGACAAAGACAAAAATACAGCGGAGGAAATAGAATTGAAAATAGTTCAGAAACAGGGAAAAGTTAAGAAAGAAAAGGTAAAGAAAAATAGTAAGAAAGTAAGAATTCAGCATATTGTTAAAAAAAAAAAAATTGTCAAGCCAGAGATAGTAAAGCAAGTAAAAGGGGAGGTGCACAAAACAGGCATTGAACACTCCGTACAGGTAAATGAAACTGGTAGTCAAGGCAGTATGGTAGGCGAGTCAAACAAAAAACAAAAATTTGAAAAGATGCAACGATTTTCTCCAAGAAAACGGAAAATGAGGTACTGTATAAAAGAAAAGAAGCAAGTGTTGACAAGAAGAAAATGTACTCGGCAAAATTTGAATAAAAAAATTAAGAAACCACAAAAACAGAAGGAAGCCGAGGGCCAGGTGAAAGTAGATATAGGTGAAGATGAGAAGGTAGAAATAAAACGGGAGGAAGATGTGCCTCAAGGAATAACACAAGCCAAAAATGAGCATGTGGAGACGGTGAATGAAGATGAGACAAAGTTTGTAGAAAAATGTAATTTTCAGATTGTTAAAGAGGAAAGTGAGTCACAAAGCAGCAGTAGAGAAAAAAATAAACTGCAAGAAATTGGCTCAGGAGAAAATGAAAAATTAGAAATAAAGATTGAAAAAGAACAACTAAAAGTAAAATTAGATGAAGGTAATGGACAGGATAATGATACTAAAGATCAAGTTTTGAGAAATATTGAAAAATGTGATAAAAATGTAATTGAAGAAGATCTTAAAACTGATACTTCTTTACTATCTCTAGATCCTCTTCCAAATGAACAGAAATCTCAGAATACATCATCTTCCTCGGCATCATTACTACCACAGCAGAGAAAAAGCACGGATGCAAGTGAAGAGAATCTGGAGAGATTCAGGCCAAGAACTCCAGATAGTCCACGACCCACATCGCCCGAATTGAGAGGACCCCACACTCCCGATGGACCTGCTCCAACTACCCCTGAAGAACTCGCAGTATCTCCACAGAGTCCTAGGTCACCGATGCATTGTCATAGGAGTCCTTCTCCTTCCCAGGATTGCCAAACCGAAGGAGAAGAAACTCTTGAACGGGAACATTCTCTGGAAAAAAAATCGCGGTCAAGAGTAAGAGGACCCTGTACACCCCCGTCTCCACCACCACCAGTGCAGGAGGAGGAAAACGATGAAGGAGAGCAAGAAGATGCTGAAATTTCTAGTAAATCTTCCTCGCAAGCAACTCTACAGGAACAACCAAAATCTACTCCTGTTAAGAGAAAGGTAATTAGATAAAGTTTCGGTCAATTTTATATGGTCACTTCCATTCTGCCATTATGAAATGTTTTATTTGTTAATGTATATACAGCTACTCACACAATCCTGTATATAGAACACTTACACAAGTCAAAAATATTAGGAATGCCTGCATCAATATGAGTGTTATAAGCGAGTGGAATGCAATAGAAGTAGTGAAGCATAACTCAATACACATACTCATACATTCTGTACTGTACTGTACAACAAACCCCCAAGGAACTGGGGAGTGGGGCTTAATCCTCACAAACACAAAGTTAATCAAAATACGGAGTTAAAACATTTGAACTGCTGTCCATGAGGATTATAGCTGGCCTCATACTATTGGATTATATTTGTGTATTATGGTTCCTCCCAAGCATTCAGCACTGTTTTAAATGTATGTATAATAATTTAGCAAGCATGTCAGGGCTTTTGTAGAGAAGAGTAAAAAAAATTTTTTTAATCTTCTACCTTATCCAAAAAGTTTAGTTCATTTCAAGAATCTATGTGCAGTGTTTTCTATAAACTTAAGCCTTGTTCAGGCCAAGGATCATTAGTACTGTACTGTACACATGATACGATGATATTTAGGAAATAATATGGATGAATTTCTAGTAAATATGTTAAATTGGTAGAGGAAGACAAGGACTTGACTTGAGCTATATCATATTCTTTAAGCCACAAATAGATAATCACACATGTACACTACTACATATGTTAAATATTTATCTAAAATTTATATTTCCTTATATTAAATGAAGGCACATAATTAAAGATTATACTGATAATTAAAAATACAATGTCTGATTTATTTATCCGCAAATTATATTTTTCTTTAATTTTTACTCTTGTAACAGTTATCAATCTTGGAGTATCGCAAGAGGAAAAGTGTAAGCAGTGAGAGTGACAGTAGAGGGTTGAGTGGACCATCAGATTCATCATCTCCTCCCCCTTCATCTCTCGTGTGTTCCACAGCGTTGTCTGCTCCTTGTACAGACTCTTTGGTCTTATCTTCTAATCCCTCCTCTGCTTCTAACACATCAACACGAGAACCCTCCCTCTCTCCTACATATCTCTCTCCGCTGCCAAAGCTGGGCCGAAGTGAAGCTACAGAGTCTTCCCCTGATATTGCTCTCTCTCCTGTTCGACCACTTTTACTTACACCGCTCTCCGTTGTCCTTGACGGCAAATCTACCAAAGATGAAGTAAAAAGAGGTGGGTCTATTGATATTGCCCATATTTGAAGCTTAGCATCTTCATTGATCCCAGAATAATGAAGGTTTTTGAATAAATGAGAACTGAAATTTAACCTCAAAAAAAAAAAAAAATCCTTCCAGTTTGTAGGATGATTACACTTTACATCAATGTTTTGCTGTCAGATGCAGAGAGTAATGGCAGCAGTGGTGGAGATAGCATCAGTGACAGCAGCAAACACATCATCAAGAGCAGTAGTAGTAATGTTAGCAATAGCTGTAGCACAACCACCATCACCACTATTGCTGTTGCCCTGAATGTCTTCACATCTACCAGCACAGCTGTCTCAATTGCTGCTGGAACCACTACAGCTGCTACCCCACTCGCCCCTATCACTGGTAATGTCACATCTCAGGATGTGAAATGGAATGCAGCACCTACCCTACTGGAGCAGCAGAGAGAGAATTTAACGGCAAGATTACGACGTGAATTCGGACTATGTATATCTGATGACGATGAAGATAAATCAGGTAAGATCCAAGTTTTCACCATCACTTGTTGACTTCAGTTATATAAATAATTCCAAGTATTCATTTCCCTGGGTTCTAGATAAATTTAACAGGCAACAGTCACATAAATTATCATCCACACTTCTGTGGAAATAAACATTCACCCAGGTGAATGGAACACCGTTTTTCCTATGTAGTCTTCTGCTACCTTTGGTGTTACTGCTATTTGAATCTTACGATTTGAAGTCATGGGATCATTAATTTTATGGGAGCTTCATTTAAATTGTTTGAAAAAAATTAATTTGTTCACTTATTTAAGTTTTCTTAATTTGATATGATGTAGTTCAGAATATTTTTTGCAAAAAAAATGAATACTTTGGAAGTTATTAAGATTTAAAATATGTTCTATAATTATTTATCTGAGTATTCAGGGTCATAATCAGTAAGAAAATAATTTAAAATAATTACATTTGATTTTAATTATAATTCATGCTGCACGAAGATTACATAAGGTCATCACTTTATGATAATGAGTGTCATTCTGATATTGATTTATAGATTTCCACTTGTATAATATAAATACAAACGTGGAGCCACACTCCAACTTCACAATCAAGGCAGAAAAAAGAATTACTTGTACCACTTCATTGATTTGTGCAAGCATTCCACTACCCCATCATACCACATTTGTCTATCAACTGCATATTTGTTATACTCTAATATAACATCCGGTTTGAAGACATTTTCTTTGGTCTGCAGGCTTCTGTTTCTTTGTGAATCATTGTTGTATATGACTCAAAGGAACATCTTTCCTTTGTGAATCATTGTTAGCACATGCACTTCGTGTTTGTCCTTCCATTTGAGCGCCGACATATTGTTAGTCCATTTGAATGCCGACATATTGTTAGTCCATTTGAGCGCTGACATATTGTTAGTCCATTTAAGTGCTGACATATTGTTAGTCCATTTGAGTGCCAACATATTGTTAGTCCATTTGAGTGCCAACATATTACTGTATTAGTTTTCCTACACTGACACTCGTCAATACTTTTGCTTGTCTCGAAGCCATTTGCTGTTTTGGGGGGCTTCACTGTTTCAAATGTTGCAGTATTGCATTCAAGCAAATAAGTGGGACAGAGTGGGACTGGTATAATTAGTTATCAGTGTATAGAATGTGTTCCTTGTTGATCAGTGGCACCATCAGTGCCTTTTTTACACTGCCAGAAAGCCTGTTGAATTGTTCTTTATCACATTTACATCAGTGGCAAAATACAGGATTATTTCTATGATGAGCCCTAACTCATAATTGCAAAATATGAATAGTTTTAGGGTCCAATTGTACTGCTTTGACAATATATATACTGTTTGAACAAAGCTCTTCTCTTGAATAACATGAGAGAGTTCATGTTCTCTTGAACAATATAAAAATAAATTACAACCTTTTATATTGGTACACACACAAAAGATTTGTACTTGTTGTTAAGGTCTGTGAAGATGTGCCTCACTATACAAAGTTAGTCACGTTTACCTTCTATATCGTTATCCTCAAATGTATGTATCAGAGGAGAAGCAGAAATCTGTGTGAATTTGCTGAACATGGGGGTTGGTATGACAGCGTCCTTGTTTCAATATTTCACTCAAGATGGATGTGGGTGGGTATAAGTAGGAGCTGCCTCGTATGGGCCAATAGTTACCTTCTGCAGTTACCTTCATTCTTATGTTCTCCATAACATGCTTCTTTGCATGTGCCATCAACATTGTTACTGTCAGGAATGTGTATATTTTTGCCACATTAGTCTTTCTCCGTCAATTCTTACAAGATTGTGGAGCTAAATCCTCACAATCAACTACAGTTACAGTCCACCTGTTCATTCCTTTCACAATGTTTTATGTGTGCCTTATAAAAAAAAAATGCTGTGAAAGTCTTAATGCGCACATTTCGTCATCAGCAACAAATATTGCTCACACCAGTGTTGCCCAGATTCCTAAAATTCATTTGTTTACAAAGAAGTGCAAAATACCATCAGTACAGCAGACACTCGTTATAATATGAAGGAAAAGCAGAGACAGTGACATTGCGTGCAACCTATAAAAACTGTGGACATAGCTGCACTTCACAAAGGAGAAAGTAGAACACAGGCAAAAAATTAGACCTGTCACATTGATGTTATACATCATTAAGGTTTTTGAGAGGGTGCTCAGATTTATACACAGATTTTGCAAAATCATTTTCTGTATTAACACTGCCTGGGCCAGCAGGCCACCTGCAGCTCACCACAAGGTAGGCCGGGTGTTGCCCGTGAGCACACAACCCAATGTTAAACTCTCACACACAATGGTTATACTATCTAATAAGAATAAGATAAAATTAATGGATGATGGCGTTAACGTCATCTCCCGAACTGCGTGTATTGTTTTAATGACTCCGAGAGCATCATCATGAAGCCCAAGTATTGTTTTAATGACTCCGAGAGCATCATCATGAAGCCCAAGTATTAAATGAAATGATGGAATAGTAGCCCATAAAATGAAAGTTTAAGAATAACATAAAGTAGGGAGATGAATTTAAAATTTTCTATTGAAAAATTACAAAAAGTGGCAATAAATCAAACAAAATCTAGCCTGAGTTTGATGCAAAGTTCTGTTCCATAAGGTACAATCTGCACTGTAACTTCCTCATCCTTATTAAAAACATCGACAGGAATAGAAACCACAGTTTTGTGTCATCCTTAGCTGATGACACCAAAATAAATATGAAAATAGCACAAGGGAAAGATTCAGAAAATTTGCAATCTGATATTAGCAAGGTCTTCTAATGGGCAATAGAAAATAATAATGAAATTCAATGGTGACAAATTGTAATTAATTCATTATTGGAAAAATGGAAACCTTCAAAGAAATACTGGAACAGGAGACAGACATATTGTTATAGAAAGGAGTAACGGAGTCAAAGACCTTGAAGTAATAAGGTCAGAAGATCTGGTGTTTAGAGAACACAATAAAGCAAACATTGCAACAGCCAGGAAAATGATAAGGTGGATAATGAAAACCTTTTAAACAAAGGGTGGCTCACTATTCATAGTAATTTTTGAAGCACTGGTGCTGTCTTACGTGGAACAGTTTTCAGGCTTTGCATCTCCTTTCTTGGTAGGTGAGATTGCAGAGCTGTAAAGTGTGCACATCCTTTATTGCATGCATAGAATCAGTGAAGCATTTAAACTATTAGGACTGACTCAATGCACTCAAAGAGTACTCCTTGGAATGACAATGAGAAAGATGTCTCATAATATACACATGAAAGATACTGGAAGATAAGGTTCCAAACCTGCACAATAAAATTGCAACATATTGAAGTGAGATTTGTAGGGAAGTGCAAAATAAGTCCAGTGACATTTAAGAAGGTTGGTCGCAGACCAGATCAATATTGCTTCTACATTATTAGATCCTGAGTGCCTTTTCTATTTCCAGAGGAAAGACTTTTTTTGTAGTTATAGTTGTAAACAACTAAACATCTTGAGCTACAAGTTATGGAAAAAAATGTTCATTCATAACTTGAAGAGCAAGCTTAACAAGAGTACTGAAACAATGGGAGGTATAAAATTACCAGGTACAATAGCTGGGGGTCTTAAGGGGGTCTAATCACGGAAAATAAAAAATGTTCCGATTTTTTTGAAAATTTAATCATGGAATGGTTATAGAAGGGGCTGCAACTGGTCCAAGTTTCAGCATCACACCCTAAATAGAAATGGAGAAAAAAAATACAGAACGTATTATGCAACGAATTTTCAACATTTTCAAAAAATTTCAGGGAACACGTGTCAACTAAAATCATTTCTATAACACTCAGATATCACATTAGCATGTGAGGTGGAAGTGAGGTTTATTTGCTGATCCACATTAAATAAATAAATAGATACAGTACAGACATGCATATGCATGTACATACTCTCTCCTACATGTTTGTAGGAGATACTACATGTTTGCTGATGATGCTAAATTACTAGAGAAGATAAAAGACAGACAATTGGCATGCCCTTCAAGATGACCTAGACAAAATAATTGAGTGTATCAGCACTTGACAGAAATGTCACATTATGGAATGTGGAATAGGGGAAAATAGGCCACACACAACCTACAAATTATATGAAAAGGCACTAAAGAACTTGGGGGGGGGGGAAGTTTAGGGGTGGCTGTGGATATTACTGTCAGCAGAGGAATAAAGGAATAAACACATAAAGGAATAAATCCACAAGGGCCGTGATAAGGGTTCGAACTTACTCACGGCTTGCCTGAGCCGTGATGGCTCAGTCGATTAAGGCGCATTTGGGATCATTCTGGACATAAGTCACAGTGACTTACGTCCAGGTTGATCCAGTTGATATGTCATGCTATTGTGATTTCTGTATGTATCACATAAAGACCATTGTGCAAGAAGCCTGTGCTGCTCTTTCCAACTTCAGAATCATATTTAAATACATGGACTGTGAAATGTTAAAGAAATTGTCCTTTGTGAGGAGAAAATTGGAATATGCAGCAGTTGTATGGTGCCCACATCTCAAGAAGCATATAAAAACTGGAGAAAGGGCAAAGACATGCCACTAAATGACTACCAGAAGTGAAAAGCAAGAGCACTGAGGAGAGGCTAGAGGTGTTAAATATGCCAATGCTGGAAGATAGAAGGAAAAGGTGGAAAGTCCATTACATCCAAAATGGTAACAGGAAACAACAAAATTGACAAAAAGGAATTCCTGAAGCCTAGAACTTGAAGAATGAAAGGTCAAAGATTCAAACTAAGGATTCAAACAAAAATGCCAAAAAATATTAGAAAGTACAGGACTTTTTTAAGTACTGTAATTAAACAGAGTGGCAGTTGGAATAAGTCAAGTGAAAAAGCAGTGGAGGCCTAAATCACCAGTACAGTACTAGTAGTTTTAAAGTGCCATATGGCAAAGTACTGGGAAGATAGAAAACTATGAGTGTATCTCTCGGTCTCTTTTTTTATGCTTAAGTAATTACATTTA